AAAGCATATAGCATTACAAGCTACTAGAGCAATGTATAGTTTAATAAGAAACTCAAATCGACTTAGTTTACCAATTGATATCCAAATAGATCTTTTTAATAAAACAATAAAACCTATTCTTCTTTATGGGGCGGAAATATGGGGATATGGTAATATAGAAGTGATTGAACGAGTCCAATTAAAATTTTTAAAGTATATTTTAAATATGAAAAAATCCACCCCAAATTATATGGTGTACGGAGAAACAGGCTGTCTGCCGCTATCTATTGATATAAACGAAAGAATAATCATGTTTTGGGCTAGATTAAAAAAGCACGATGTAAATAATCATCAAAAGAAATTGTCGTCTCTATTATACAATATTACATATAATCTTTCCAAAAACTTAAGTGAAAATAATTTGAGAAAACAATTTCCTTGGATTGCAAACTTAAGACAAATTTTTATAAATTGCGGTTTATGTAATATATGGGATACACAAAATTTTGGAAACGAGAAGTGGTTGAAATTAGCAATTAGACAGAAACTAAAAGATGTTTTTCTAAATGATTGGTATTCCGTTATTCAAAACTCCAGCAAAAGTACATTCTACAGAATATTCAAAAAAGAATTTAAATTCGAAAAATACCTTTTATCAACTCCTAAACCTTTTCTTCGTTACATGATAAAATTTCGTACACGTAACCATAGATTACCAATAGAAACCGGAAATTGGGCCCGAATACCAATCAATCAAAGAACATGTACTTCTTGTAACAATAAAATAGGCGACGAATTTCATTACTTATTTGAATGTGTTTTGCTTAATGATGAAAGAAATAAATTTTTGAAACCCTATTATTATAGACGTGCAAATACATTCAAACTAGATCAACTAATTAATACAGAAAACAAGAGCGAATATTTGAAATTATGTAAATTTGTTAAAACAATAGTTTTAAGATAATTAAAATTAGAATTCACAGGTCATATGTGATTACTTACATTCCAAGAATTACTTACATTCCAAGACTATTACACGAATATTTCACAGATAAATCTTTTATTACCCATTGTAAAGTGTTTGTTTGTTATAATATTTGTCTAAATAGTATGACACTTTTTTCATTTAGCTTATAAGTATGAGTCTAGAAATGTCATTGTAAAGGTTTAAAATATTATGTCGTACATAATTGTACATCACTTGTCAGTTGTTTATATTATTATTTCTTTTCCCTTTTCCTTTTTTGTAACTATTCTCATCGTTTGTCGATAAATAAAAAGAAAGGTAATATGAAACGAAATTATACCCTTAGAGAGTGTCCAAATTACGTGACTCTCCACGGTTTTTTGTGGTAACATATTACTAAGAACTTTAACAATTTGTGGTTTTGATACATTGTTAATTGAACGTACTGCAGTTCAGCAAATGATATGAATAAATACTCTTTCTACGAATTATTTTACCACTCAAATTATATAATTATACATTGTACATTTGTTTAAAGAGCCTCTACTAACATTGTATTTATTACTAACCACATTTATTCATGTTAACATGAAATGTGTGTAATAAAGGAAATTTGACTTGACTTGACTTGACTTGACTTGAGTACCAAGCTAACATCTAGTACTGGTACTGGTAATGGTACTGCAAAATTTGCCAAGTACTGGTACTGGTACTTAAGTACTACACCGTTAGTACTGATGCAGCTCTGACCCAGACACTGCTATATTAACCCAAACACTGCTAGATTAACCCAGACACTGCTAGATAAACCCATACACTGCCAGATTAAACCAAACACTGCTAGATTAACCTAGACACTGCTAGATTAACCCAGATACTGCCAGATTAACCCAGACACTGCTAGATTAACCCAGATATGGTTTGATTAAGTCAGACACTGCTTGATTAACCCAAACACTGCTAGATTATCCTAGACACTGCTAGATGAGTCCAAACACTGCTAGATTAATCCAGACACTGCTAGATGAACACAAACACTGCTAGATTAACTCAGACAATGCTAGATTAACCCAAACACTGCTAGATTAACCTGGACACTGCTAGATTAATCCAGACACTGCTAGATTAACCCAAACACTGCTAGATTAACCCAGACAATGCTAGATTAACCCAAACACTGCTAGATTAACCCAAACACTGCTAGATTAACCCAGACACAGCTAAGGAATTTGTAACTTTTACCCTCGTGCAGCGCCATCTGATCCGATTGTGCATTGTTCACCATTCTCCCCTTACTGGCTGTAGCGTAACAGGTGCGCAGAGTTTGGTGGTTGAGGGAGAACAGCCTCTCTGATAGTGGGCGTGGTTCAGGCTTTGTTATTTGTAATTCAATGATTACACAAGTGATATTGACCTAAGACTAAATGTTAGCATACAGAGCATCATATTAAATTTGCTGACAATTTAAGGCGGGGTCAAACTTCAACAGAGGCGGAACAATGAAGTGAGTGACACTGCCTCAGTCGTTACCTCTCTTAACGGTTAAGTTTTAGAACATCGACTATAGACTGGCTCATTGGCACGTTATTTATTATGTAGACAAAATTAGATAATGATAAAAAGAATATGATATTCAAACATGGCACTATCACTTCAGTTAAACATTTATTCTAATCATTTAAATGATAATCTGTAAAATATTGTACATTTTATAAACAGTGTGATTTTGTTAAAACAGAAAAAAAATACACAAAATCAAGTCAGTTTTCCCCATTGCTGTATGAACAAATGCATATCTACTAGAAGCAGGACGTCTAATGATACAAAGTTGGCATGACAAGGAAAAGAAACGTTGTTCATACAAGAATGCACTGTATAACAGAGGAGGGTTTAACAATTTATAGACTAGCTTCCTACCTGTGGCTTAACTTTACATGCTTTAGCTGCTGGAACTGAAACTGGTAAGCCTTTGCCATCAGTGTATTGAACCAGGCCAGCCTGCACTACCAGGGTCTATACTACTGATGAACTTCAAATGTTCATCTTGAAATCCCAACAACTGATCATGGACAAGTCCATTTAAGTAACTCAGTAGCTTAAGGGGTAAAACAAGGTCAGCGTTCATGGTGCTTTACATCTTGTAAGGTTAGGAGCTAGTGCTTCTCAAAAAATGTAGTATTTCTGTATCTAACCTCCAAGTGTTTAAACTGAAAAGTTTTCACTCAGAGACATGCCCATATAGATTTCTGGTGGCAACTTTAACTTATAACTCACAGTTATCATAAAATGAGCTTGAAGTGCGGCATGGCCGAGTGGTTAACACGTCAGACTAGTAATCTAATGATCACACGCCGCTCGAGTTCAAACCCCATCAGGGGCAAGTCATTGTTTCCTTGAGCAAGAAACTTTACTCTCATTACTCAATACTATTGTTCCAGGAACAGATTCGAAAGTGTGTCTTTAAGTTTATAGCCTCATACACAGTCAAACTAAAATGAATTCTTTATAAACGGAAATGAGCTTTAGGTAAAAATTGTGGTTGTGAGTGTACATAGAGGAAGTACATAATATAAATTATACAGTTTGTGTTGAGTGATGTAATACAACATGATATTATAGAAATTAACTTAATGGAAATAATTAACCTACCTATATAATAGTGTATAATTATATTATACATATATACACATATATACATGTATTATGCTTGAGATAATATCTGATTAGTTACAAAATGCTATATTGTTACATTTAATATCTAAATATTTTGATTTTACACATTTATGGACACTGGAAAGTAAGTTATTGTAAATTTAAACATATTTTCATGTTGATTTCTTTATTTTATTTAAATTGACATGTCTTGATTTAAGTTAAGATAACTCTTTGCCTCAAACATCATGTCATGCTTTTCCCTAAATGGTTTCAAGATTATTAATTTTCAAACCATGAAGATTATTAATTTTTAAACCATGAAGATTATTAATTTTCAAACCATGAAGATTATTAGTTTTTAAACCATGAAGATTGTTGGTTTTTAAACCATGAAGATTATTAATTTTCAAACCATGAAGATTATTAATTTTTAAACCATGAAGATTATTAGTTTTTAAACCATTATTTGTTTTTAAACCATGAAGATTATATAAAATTATTTTCAAACCATGAAGATTGTTCCGTATTACTTACATCATTTCATGGCCCACATTATCATATGTCTCAGTGTATCACTTGACTTGAGTCGCACCAATCAAACACTATTCCATGGTTTATATTATCCATTTTGGGCTAAAAATATTCCATGACTTACATTATCCTTTGACTAGTATTATCATGTGTATTAAATTACCCTTTAGCTAATGTTATGCATGACTTATATTGTCCAATGTCTTACATTATCCCTTGACTAACACTATCCATAGCCAAAATTATCCGTGTCTTGCAAAATCCCTTGGCTAACATTATCCAGTGTCTCACATTCCATTTTCCAATGGCACACATATGATATTATCTTATTACACCATCCATTGGCTAACCTTATAAATGACTGGTTTTCCCATGTTTTAACATTATCGCATGAATTGTATTATCCTATGGTTGACATTATCCAATAAACAATATTAACTCATTTTGCATGATCTCACAGCTCATATCATTTCATGGCTCATATGTTCTATTGGCTCATATGTTCTATTGGCTCATATAATCTCATGGCTCATATGTTCTCATGGCTCATATAATCTCATGGCTCATATGCTCTCATGGCTCATATGGTATCATGACTCATATAATCTCATGGCTCATATAATCTCATGGCTCATGTGTTCTCATGGCTCATATAATCTCATGGCCCATATGTTCTCATGGCTCATATAATCTCATGGCTCATATGGTATCATGGCTCATATGGTATCATGACTCATAATCTCATGGCTCATATAATCTCATGGCTCATAATTATGTTCTCATGACTCATATAATCTCATGACTCTAATAATCTCATGGCTCATGTGTTCTCATGGCTCATATAATCTCATGGCTCATAGAATCTCATGGATTGAATTAAAATGTTTGTATGTTTCAGATAGAGCAGCTGCATTCCAGTGACAACCTGGGAACAGTTCTGCGAAATTTGGTGGCAGAAGTCGATGATAAGAGCCCGGCAAACGGCCAGGGCTCATACGTAGATCTTGATCCGGGTACAATCATAAAGATTGCCCAGATCCTACGTAAACTGAACGCAAACAGCGTAACTATGACGACAGAAAACCATGGGACCAATAAAGCCTCCTCTGCTAGCCTGGTAAGTTGTTTATGTTGTACATTTTCCAGGGGCCCTGGAAAAGAAAATCCAACTTGACTTTAACAGTGTCAGTGTTGCTTAAAACTTAACTGAAAAAGAAGAGAAATAAATCAGGCAATGCACTATTCATTATTAAAAAGATTGTGAGTTCATATTGCTCATAATAACAAAACTTTAAACAATGAAAAACACCTGATATTGTATAAATTAAATTATTTTATCTGTAAGTCAGCTGATGGCAGCTGAACATACCCATGTGACCAGTGCAGACCAATATCAGACGGCACTGATGTGCATTGAGACTGATCATGGTCTGCACTGTGTTTGCTATTCAATCAGTAGATATTTTGAAAAATGGCCCCTTAAGTCAATGAATGGTTATGTCCAAATTGAAAAATGGACAAGTCCATTTAATATATTTAGGGTTGTAGTGGTTATGTAAATTTTCTCATTACAAAGGAACTGGAAGTACTTATATAAAACAGCAAGAATTATTCTCATGCTTATCTATTCAAAGGTATAAGAATCACACTTTAATACCTCAAAAGCTTTTATACTATAATTCCATTTACCAGGAATTGGCGAGAAAATACAACATCATATTTACACAATGAATATGTTTTGATGCAGTATTAAAAGCATCCTGAAATGAAAAAGTCAGCTGGTACAAAAATTAACACACAGGGTCTGCTGTCTAATTAAATACATACATTATGATATCATTATATGTACATAGGTATAGATAAGTGGCGAATTCCATTAATGTTAATTAAAATTTTTCGTTAAAATCAATTATTCATAGTCATGTGTTGTGTTTCCTTTAAGTCGATCAAGAAAGCAGACGTATTGTTTTTACTCAAAAATCTAATTAGACCGTCCCCAAAAACATTGCCTCTATAGTTTTCGTGTACGGACCATCGTAACTTTTTCGTTAATAAATATTTTATTACTTTTTTTCGATGTAATATAACAAGTTTGGATAATTGCAGTTTCACTTTGTATGTATCTGTTTATTAACTTGATTATACTTATATAAGGTGTCAGAAAAGCATAACGGATTATTATTTATTTATTTGAAATCAATGGAGATACTTTAAGTCTTTTTTGTGTTTTTTGAGTTTTTTTTGTAATTGGTTTTTTGTTTGTTTTTTTATTGTATGAAATAAATAGTTTATTGCATAGTTTTACAATATCTTAACAGTGTCACATCATGCTGGATATAAAGGTATGAATTAGTGGGTGACATTAATCATATATATAAATTTCTATATACATGTAACAATGCCTTGAAAAATCATGGAATAATGTCATTTATAAATTTTTAAAATATAACTATTATATTATATAATCTGTTTCTGACAAAATTACTGTGATAACTTCATAATTCATATACATATATTTTAATATGCCTTTGACACATAGAAAAACTTTTAATGAAATTTTTTTTCGATGAGTTTCATTGCAAAATACATGTATCTTTTTTAAAAATAATTTTAGTTTCAGAAAGTTCATATTAATATTGGGAATTTTATAAACAACTGAATTTGATATCATCTCTTTATTCAATTTTCCAAGTTAATGAAAAGGCTTTGTTAAAAATTAATAATTTTAAAAAGAATTTGCAAGAAAAAAAGGCACACATATTGACATCGTAAAAGTGTTATTCTTAAGAAAATACAATGTATACTAATCTAAAAATTTTTATTTACATTTCTATCATCATAGAAACAACCAAAATTAGGGGATTATCTTGATAATGTTCAAAAAGTCATTGATTTAATGTAAACATGGTCCGGATGTCATGAAAAAAAAGGAAGAAGGAAAATGTGATTAAATATTGATATACAATAACTATGACTGCGATGTCTGTAATAGCAGATTTGAGCCGTGTCATGATAAAACTAACATAATGGGTTTGCGACCAGCATGGATCCAGACCAGCCTGCGCATCCGCGCAGTTTGATCAGGACCCATGCTGTTAGCTATCAGTTTCTCTACTTGTTATTGGGTTTGTAAGCGAACAGCATGGATCCTGATCAGACTGCGCGGATGCGCAGGCTGGTCTGGATCCATGCTGGTCGCAAACCCATTATGTTGGTGACGCGGCTCATTTAATTTTGCTGAGTAGTATGATTTCCAGGGCAAAATCATTTAATGAAATATTTATCATAACTTTATTTCATTGCCACTTTCAATTAAGAAATGACATCTTTTATGCATACTGCCAAATATGTTAACCTTTACTCAGCTAAGTTTGTATTGTAGAAACTGACTTATGCTTTGATTTTAAATTATATTATTCCATAAATTATCTTTTGTCAACTATAAAAATCCATGTTTGTATTTTGTAACAAATTGTTGCCTGCGCAGCCAGGCCATCCTACAAATAGGCAAACTTCATCAACATATTGTCATAACAAGCAGCAAGGCGGCCATTTTGTTTTATCTGTGACAGTTTCTTCAGAAGCCAACCAGCTGCTAATATGCATGATCTGCGACTGCTTATTAGTGATTTAATACATTACATACAATTTGGGTGGTAATTGTATGATAAAAAGATCAAAATGTTTGAGAAGACACTTCCAAAATCATAGGTTCCATATGTGGCGATTTTTTCCTAAAAAAGAAAGTGAACAGCCATTATTGTGTCGCCTCTACGGAGTAGTGGCAACATATAGGGATCACTTCTCTGTCGTCTGTCCGTATGTCTGTCCTTCCGTCTGTCCGTCCATCACAAAACTTGTCCGGACTACTCCTCATAAACTACGTACTGGTGCAATTTCATCCAAACTTTACAGGAATGATCAGTTCCAAGTCTAGTTGTGCATATTGTCAGCATTTTCCAGTCAATGATTTTTGTCAGAGTTATGGCCCTTTAATAATTTTTATTTTTAAAGTTTGTCCGGACTACTTCTCCTTTACCACTAATGCAATTTCAATGAAACTTTACAGGAATGATCAGTACCAAGTCTAGTTCTGCACTGTCCATCTGTCTGTCCGTCTGTCACAAAACTTGTCCCAACATGAAATTGGCCATCATGAGGCGACACACGTGATTGCTGATCGCTCTTGTTAAGACACAGTCCAGACTCTTTGGTGTTGGCTACTGTAATGTTGTCAGTGTTGTGTATATGAATACATGTATAACAGACCCAAATATAGCTTTATTGCAACTCAATTTTCAAAGACTCTACAGTAACTGAAATATAAACAAAGCCAGAGGTTTATCAGCAACAGGGGCGGGTTTATCAATACTAGGTTCTGATTGGCCAAGTACAGCTACCTTATTTGGACATTTTTATGTCCCCCTTCGAAGAAGAGGGGGTATATTGTTTTGCTAATGTGGGTCTGTCTGTCTGTCTGTCGGTCCGTCCGTCAGTCTGTCCGTCGGTAGACCACATGGTTTCCGCTGATTATCTTGAAAAGTATTTATCACAAAGTCTTCATATTTCACATAGTGATTGGTCATCACAAGTAGATGACCCCTATTGATTTTGGGGTCACTAGGTCAAAGGTCAAGGTCACAGGGGCCTTAAATGTCAAAATGGTTTCCGCTGATTATCTTGAAAAGTATGTATCACAAAGTCTTCATATTTCACACAGTGATTGGTCATAACTATTAGATGACCCCTATTGATTTTGGGGTCACTAGGTCAAAGGTCAAGGTCACAGGGGCTTTAAATGTCAAAATGGTTTCCGCTGATTATCTTGAAAAGTATGTATCACAAAGTCTTCATATTTCACATAGTCATTGGTCATCACTAGTAGATGACCCCTATTGATTTTGGGGTCACTAGGTCACAGGTCAAGGTCACAGGGGCTTTAAATGTCAAAATGGTTTCCGCTGATTATCTTGAAAAGTATGTATCACAAAGTCTTCATATTTCACATAGTGATTGGTCATCACTAGTAGATGACCCCTATTGATTTAGGGGTCACTAGGTCAAAGGTCAAGGTCACAGGGACCTTAAATGTCAAAATGGTTTCTGCTGATTATCTTGAAAAGTATGTATCACAAAGTCTTCATATTTCACACAGTGATTGGTCATAACTATTAGATGACCCTTTTTGATTTTGGGGTCACTAGGTCAAAGGTCAAGGTCACAGGGGCTTAAATGTCAAAATGGTTTCCGCTGATTATCTTGAAAAGTATGTATCACAAAGTCTTCATATTTCACATAGTGATTGGTCATCACTAGTAGATGACCCTTATTGATTTCGGGGTCACTAGGTCAAAGGTCAAGGTCACAAGGGCCTTAAATGTCCAAATGGTTTCCTCTGATTATCTTGAAAAGTATGTATCACAAAGTCTTCATATTCCACATAGTGATTGGTCATCACTAGTAGATGACCCCTATTGATTTTGGGGTCACTAGGTCAAAGGTCAAGGTCACAGGGACCTTAAAATGTCAAAATGGTATCCGCTGATTATCTTGAAAAGTATTCATCACAAAGTCTTCATATTTCACATATTGATTGGTCATAACTAGTAGATGACCCCTATCGATTTTGGGGTCACTAGGTCAAAGGTCAAGGTCACAGGGGCCTTAAATGTCAAAAGGGTTTCCGCTGATTATCTTGAAAAGTATTCATCACAAAGTCTTCATATTTCACCTAGTTATTGGTCATAAGAAGTAGATGATCTCTATTGATTTAGGGGTCATTAGGTCAAAGGTCAATGTCACATGGGCCTTAAATGTCAAAATGGTTTCCGTTGATTTTTCCATAATTGAACACTTCCATGTACCCATTTTTGGCAAGTTTATGTAATAAAATTATCAATTATGTGAGTCAATGGCTAGAAAGGGGGGTATATGTGTCGTTCGACATTCTTGTTTGATTTGAAATTCCTTAAATAAACAATAGAGTTCCAAAGTGAAATCTGGACAGGTCCATTTTATAAATTTTATAGGATAATTAAGGGCTAATTAGATGTTTCATTCTTAATTAATTTTTCTGCTTTGTCTTATTTCAAACTGTTAGTAGTCTCTATAAACAAATCAATTTTTATAGTTAATTTTTTTTTTCAAACATATTTTGAAAGACCACCTTTGATAAACAAATGGCATTTTTATCTGGAGAATGTCAACTTTATTGTTTCAATTTTACCTTTCACAATCTCGGGCTGTCTTGGCATTTCGTTAAGACTTTGCCCTTTTCGCAAATCATGAAAAAAATCATTTTCTATTATCTTTTTTTACTTGCTAAATTATTCTTTTTTGCTTATTGACTCATTTAAGTAATAAAACAAAGTTGATATATTATTTTCAATTAATTGTCAGTTGGTTTTCAGTCAATATATTATTGATATTGATGTTTAATAGATTTTTAATTATTTTTTTGTCTAAATTAAAAGATAGTCATGTATCTTTTAATTACAGTAATTATTTTTACTGTAATAACTGGTTTATTTTTTATTGGGAGATATGTTGCCAAGGTAGGATTTTTTAAAATATTTTTTGAAGAAAGAAAAATAAAAAATGAGTTTTTTCTTCTGTTTGAGTTAATTATTAAATAGTTTATATGACTTTAATTATTTGAATGCTAGTGACAATATTATTTTTCCTATGTGCTTCCAAAATAGAGTCATTATGCCTCCCTGCATATCTGTACAGATGGAATTAACTTTGTATTGCTTTAACCCCTGTTCTTAAACAGCTGAATTTCTTAAATGGACTTGTCTGGGTTCATTTTTTGGACCTGTCAGTTATGAAATTGTCAAAAATTTAGAAATAGTCAGGTCTGGTCAGATTTCACAACTTTGAAGGTACAAGCTGATCATCTTGGGCTACAGCAAGTCAAGGGTTTAAGAATACTAGTAGTTTAAAAGTTGTGACTTATTAAATCTCGCTGTATCCACATATGAGTCGCGTCACGACAAAACCAACATAGTGCGTTTGCGACCAGCATGGATCCAGACCAGCCTGCGCATCCGCGCAGTCTGATCAAGATCCATGCTGTTCCCAATCAGTTTCCCTACTTTTAATAGAGTTGGTAAGCGAACAGCATGGATCCTGATCAGACTGCGCGGATGGGCAGGCTGGTCTGGATCGATGCTGGTCGCAAACGCATTATGTTGGTTTTGTCATGACGCGGCACATATATTTTTTGATGAATGCTTAATGGTGTTGTACTTGATGTACCTATACCTCTGAATTGGGTGTGGAGTCTTTGCATATAACAATATAACTTAAATTGTTGCTAATTCTTATTAAGTAGAATCACAGAACCTGTTCAAAATTAATGTAAAACTGAGAAAAAAAACATTTTGAAAAAATTCCAAATTTTTATGGTGTAGGTTACTTTGATACCACTCTAAGATTTATTTTAGGCAAAGTTAATTACCTGAGCAAAAGGGCGTGCCATATTTTGGTAGAGTGCCCCTGCAAATCTAGATAAGACAACAATTGTTTCAGAATTCGTAATTTTAAAGAATGGTTTTGTTAGCTCGACTTTTTTTTTTGAAAAAAAAATAGAGGTATTGCTACAGTCAGGTCGGCGTTGCCGTTGCCGTTGCCGTTGCCGTTGCCGTCCGAAAACTTGTACCTGGATCATAACTTTTTTATTTCTTTGTGTATTGTCTTCATACTTGGCCACAACAACCCTTGGGACAAGACCTTTCAGTAGACCACACTAACCTTGACCTTCATCCATAAATGACCTTGACCTTCAAGGTTAAAAGTCCAATTTTTGCTTGTTCATGCTGTTATTGGCTGTAACTTTGTTATTTTTGAATGGATTGTCTTCAAACTTGAACATAATAATCTTTAAGGATATCCCTTAAAAATAACCAGCCAGACCTTGACCTTCACTCATAAATGACCTTGACTTTGAAGGTCAAATTATTGAAATTTTCATTTTTTTGGCTTTTATTGGCTGTAAGTTTGTTATTTTTGAATGGATTGTCCTGAAACTTGAACATAATAATCTTCAAAGATTACTGTTAAAGATATACCGGAAGACCTTGAACTTCACACATTAATGACATTGTCTTTGAAGGTCAAATTATTGAAATTTTCATTGTTTTGGCAGTCACTGACTGTAACTTTGCTATTATTGAAGGGATCAACTTCATATTATTAGAGAACATTCTTAAGGACCAGACCTTGTTGTTTATCAAACCCAACTTTGCTTGGGCTCTTAAATGACCTTGACCTTGAAGGTTAAATTACTGAATTTTCTCAGATTTGTGCAGTAAATGACCATATTTAAATATTTATTGGTGTGTGTGTGTCTATATATATATATTTACAACAACAACAACAATAACTAAAATTGTGTCATTGTTTCTATTTATAGAATTGCGTCATTGTTTCTATTTATAGAATTGCGTCATTGTTTCTATTTAGAGAAATTGGGTCATTGTTTTTTTGGGTTTTTTTTATAGAAATGCGTCATTGTTTCTATTTTTAGAGATTGCATCATTTTTTCTATTTTTAGAAATTGCATCATAATTTCTATTTTTAGAAATTGCATCATTTTTTTCTATTTTTAGATATTGCGTCATAATTTCTATTTTTAGTATTTTTAGAGATTGCATCATTTTTTCTATTTTTAGAAATTGTGTCATAATTTCTATTTTTAGAAATTGCGTCATTGGTGCTATTTTTAGATATTGCGTCATTTTTTCTATTTTTAGAAATTGCGTCATAATTTCTATTTTTAGTATTTTTAGAGATTGCATCATTTTTTCTATTTTTAGAAATTGCGTCATAATTTCTATTTTTAGAAATTGCATCATTGGTGCTATTTTTAGAAACTGTGTCATAATTTCTATTTTTATAAATTGCGTCATAATTTCTATTTTTAGAAATTGCGTCATTGGTGCTATTTTTAGAAATTGCGTCATTTTTTCTATTTTTAGAAATTGCGTCATAATTTCTATTTTTAGTATTTTTAGAGATTGCATCATTTTTTCTATTTTTAGAAATTGCGTCATAATTTCTATTTTTAGAAATTGCATCATTGGTGCTATTTTTAGAAATTGCGTCATTGTTGCTATTTTTAGAAAATGCGTCATTGTTTCTAATTTTAGAGATTGTGTCATTTTTTCTATTTTTAGAAATTGCGTCATAATTTCTATTTTTAGAAATTGCGTCATAATTTCTATTTTTAGAAATTGCGTCATTTTTTCTATTTTTAGAGATTGTGTCATTTTTTCTATTTTTAGAAATTGCGTCATAATTTCTATTTTTAGAAATTGCGTCATAATTTCTATTTTTAGAAATTGCGTCATTTTTTCTATTTTTAGAAATTGCGTCATTTTTTCTATTTTTAGAAATTGCGTCATAATTTCTATTTTTAGAAATTGCGTCATTGGTGCTATTTTTAGAAATTGCGTCATTTTTTCTATTTTTAGAAATTGCGTCATAATTTCTATTTTTAGAAATTGCGTCATTGGTGCTATTTTTAGAAATTGCGTCATTTTTTCTATTTTTAGAAATTGCGTCATTTTTTCTATTTTTAGAAATTGCGTCATTTTTTCTATTTTTAGAAATTGCGTCATTGGTGCTATTTTTAGAAATTGCGTCATTTTTTTAGAAATTGCGTCATAATTTCTATTTTTAGAAATTGCGTCATAATTTCTATTTTTAGAAATTGCGTCATTGGAGCTATTTTTAGAAATTGCGTCATTTTTTCTACTTTTAGAAATTGCGTCATAATTTCTATTTTTAGATATTGCGTCATAATTTCTATTTTAGTATATCTAGAAATTGCGTCATTTTTTTCTTTTTTTAGAAATTGCTTCATTTTTTCTATTTTTAGAAATTGCGTCAATTTTTCTATTTTTAGAAATTGCATCATTGTTGCTATTTAGAAATTGCATCACTTTTTTATTTTTAGAAATTATGTCATTTTTTGTATTTTTAGAAATTGCGTCATTTTTTCTATATTGAGAAATTGCGTCATATTGCTATTTTAAGAAATTGCGTACTGTTGCTATTTTTAGAAATATGCTTAATGTTTCTATTCATATATATACAAAATATATAAAGAAAACTAATGTGACAAGACAGACAAACTAAATTTATAAAAAGGAAACGTTAATATATGTTCAAACCTTTCTATGTTTGCGTTTAGAAAAAGTAAAAAGTCGAGCGTTGCCCCCGCCCGGCGGTGGCTCTTGTTTTGTTTGTTATAATGTTAGTCTAACAGTTTTGTAATACTTTTTTGAGCAGTAAGTTAAATAACAAGTATTTATGAATTTTGTGCATTAACTTTCATTTATTCAATTCTCTATGTTAGATGACAAAAAACATTAAAATAATTATTGTCATCTAAGAAATCATCATGTTGCAATCCAATTATTCAATTGAGATTCATCCCATCCACTTAAAGGGACTCCACTTAAGTTTTTCAACATGGGAGCACTGGAAAAGATTTTCGAGAGTATGATGCTCCATTTGATGTAGGTTTAGGCCATTAACCTGTTTGTAAAATTTCAGATCATCCACTCACTCTATTTTTCCTTATTCTTATTGTTGAAAATGACCCAAATTTGAAAAGCGTTGCAATGATTTTCACTCAGATCAGCTAAGAATAGCTAAAAATTGTATTTCAATTTATTTCTGATTATATTTCTTATTTATGTTCAGCATATCTTTCATTTAAAGTGCACCAGCTGTTCTATATAACAAATTTAAATTTTATGTTTTGAGACATTTAGGCCTCAGTGGAGTTCCTTTAATTTACATTTGTAAATACACTCAAAATACAAGTCCATATAAAAAATTCAGCAGCTTAAGGGTGAAAATAAAGTAGTAAATAAAATAGAAGTTTCATTCATTTTAAAATTTTTGTAACTTTTGTATGTTTTTGTACAACAGCAAGTTTATTTATTGTTACAGGAAGTAGTCTCAGGAGAGACCCCAGGCAGAACTCAAGCGGGTGGGGAGAGGGCACAAAAGGCCACGGCTGATGGCCGTAACTTAACGCTGTCCAAACAGGATAGCTTATATTTGGTAAGATCTTTACATTTATGAATTTTACAACATGTTATGAGGTATTAGAGCAAAAATTTTAAATTTTTTTCGTTGTTTATGTATTTTCTGTCTGATATTATAATGAACCTTATTTATGACCTCCAATAATGGAAAGTATTTGCCAATTTCAGAAACTGTCTATCTGTCCGATATTTCAATAATCAGCAAATATGTTTATTCATTTTTTTTCGGGGGAGGGGTTAGTGAGGGGGGTGAGGGCGGTATATAGAGGATATTCAAGTTTTTTCTATAAATACATGATTTATTTTCATCGAGTGGTATGAAAATAAATATTTCATGAGTGGCGGTAGCCACGAGTGAAATATGGTAATTTTCATGCCACAAGATGAAAATAAATCATGTATTTATAGAAAAAACTTGAATTTTCTATTTATTATATACATTTTTCTCTTTTTTGACATTAAAATTTAAAAGACTTTCCCTTAAATTTTGTGTACTGGCAGAATTTAAAAGAAAGTAGTCACCAGTGAAAATACGGAAAATATGTTTCACTGCAGTGAAAAATAAATTTTTACAGTGAAAATACGGAAAATGAAAATACGTATTTTATTTCATCAATATTTCTCAATATTTCATTTATAAGTATATAATAAATAGCTTATTGACACATTAATGGTCATACCAGCCTACTGAATACTATATTAAGCCTATAGTTAGTTGGTAAAAGTTATAAAAGGAGTAAGCTAAATCTTAGAATGCAAGTGAAATATTTCACAACGGTTTTTGGATTGATATTTATTTTTGTGCTATTTTGTTTTATCTCAATCTAAAGAGGAGTGACCTGCAGCAGACATGTTTTGCATATTCTATCATATATCCAATTTGATTATTGGATTTTGTTTGTTTATTTGTCTGGTTTTTACACAGATTTTCCACATTTTTTGGTCATGTCTCATATCATGATATTCAATGACAGCCCTAAGGCAGACTATTGCATCTCTATCAAATATGCAAGTAGTGTAAGAGAAGTGTGACAATAATTCCATTTCTGAAGGATTCTTACTTTCGAATCTTGAATAACAAATATTTTCTCAAAATCTCAGTCTACTGGAATATTATTTCCAATGTTGATATAATGGACAGAGGTGCACCCGAGGTCTTCCTCCACCAGTAAAGATGGAAAGTCATCATATGACCTAGACTGTGTTGGTGCAACATTAAACCAAATCAAGAAAAAAATGGAAAGTTGAAATATAACTTTAAAGGATGTTAATGGGATAGTATACTGACCATTTATGTATGATTTAATTGACATGGCCATAGAATAGATGATATGAAATTGATTCAAGGCCCATTTGGCTGAGTGGTCTCTGACTTTATTATTTATATCTCTTCACTGCTATTGGTTTGTATCAGTTCTGATGTGTTCTTACATGTGAGAAATTTGTCTAGCTTGCATAAATGGATAGCAGGGGATTTTACTCGGGATCTGAAATAATACAGTATATGTAAGGGCACCTGAGAATAATGAAGTTGATTCAGAGTCAAGTATTGAAATTAAAAGTTTTTATTAAGTGCACAAAACATTCAATTTTGATGGGAATTATTGGCAATTTCAGTACAATCATAAAATGTTCATGATAAAATGAAGTCAAAAAATGAAGTCAAAATTTGTTTTCAATATATGTAATGTAAAATGTTTTCTGATTTTATAAATCTATGAAAGGTTTCTTTGTTTTGGATGAGAAGTAAATGTCATGAAATATATCTAAAAACAAAACACAATGCAAAAATAACAGATTTTGCACTTAATCAATTTATTCAATTAATGGATGTTATGGGGTGAAAAAAATGTACTGTTATATCATACAGTTTTGCGGCCATGAAGTTTAGAATTCATTACAAAAAAGATTATTGTAAAAATATTGTATTAAAAAAATTAAAATAAATTGAATTTGTTTCTTTAAAATTTGTTTTAATGGATCAAAAGACCCCATTTAAATTGAAATAAACTCTTTCTTTCTGGTCAAATTCAATATCAATGATTTAGCGGTGATTTCCTCGTCAAATTTTAGACAGTTTTTTGTTTAGTTTATATTCAATAAATTCGTAATTCAGAGATGTGCAGTTCAAATTTGATTTGAAATTTTCATTAATTTTGTTCTTTAAATATTGTGATTTACTTTTGATTGGATTTATATCTTAAATGTGTCATTTTCTTTGACTGGATTTGTATTCTTTGACTGGATTTGTATTTTAGATATGTTATTAACTTTGATTGAACTTGTATTTAAGGCCAGGTTTAAGTTGGACTTTTTTTTAAATTATCAAGTGCATTAATTAATTTACTTCTTCTTCCTTACAAGGTTAAATTAGTTTAAATGTGTGAAATGTTCAATTATAAATAGAGGCATTTAAAGGAGTGTCAAACCTATATTAAAGGACTAATATTTTAACATTAAAGTTTTTATTTACATATTAGATATTCAGAAATGTTTGAAACACAAATGAAAGAGTTATTATAATATTATAATATCATAATATTTTCAAATTTAGAGGGTAAAATCCTTAGAAAATCTGTTAAATGCTCTTCAACAAAAAGTGATTTTAAACCCATCTTGTATCATAGTTTTGAGACCTTTCTGTTGAAAATGTGTCAGGGTTAAATCGTATACGTATACATGCACAGTGCGTTAACTGGAGTGCGGGTATTAGTTACCCGCACTCCAGAGCATGCCCATTGATTGGCTCTTTTTTGCTTGGGTTTACATACTGTGACGACAGAGAAAGGGAAAGCAACAGAAATGTCATATTCAGATGTTCGTTCATTGGTTCATATTTGCCAGGGTTTCATATTGTGACAACAGGGAACATGCTTTTATGTTTGACTATGATACAAAAGAGAAAGAACACCAAAACACTCAGCAATCTGATTAATACTCGGGGGCTACGCCCCCTCGTACAAATCAGATAGCCTCATGTTTCGGTGCTCTTTCTATTACTTAACCATTACCCTTGCTGGTGGCAACAGAATGTACCCATGCTACCAGTGCAGACCAGGATTAGCTGACACATCTGTGCCATCTAAGCTTAGTTTGCACTGATCCCTATTAAATGAAAACTGACTGTAATTTTTTTTTCTAAACATGAGTGCTGGTTTTGTCCAGATTTTAAGATGTACATAGTCCATAAAAAGATATTTGGTATAGTCAGTGTAAAAAAATAAAAAACATGTCAACAAAATTGTCTTAAAATTATGTTTTTACTATACTTCTATTTTCAGTTTCATTTCCTGTATTTTCTAGCAAATCATTATCATAGATATATTTAGAAAATTTCACATGATGCAAGAACATTGATACACGCACATAATGTTTCTTTGTGTGCAGATTTTCATGAAACTTTTTTTATTCAAAATATTTCAGATGAAGAAGATAAGGGACTTCGAACAGAAATGTAAACCCTTACAGGAAAAAAATAAGAAATTTTTGGAGAAGAATATGGAGCTAACTACGTTAAATAGGGACTTAAAGGAACAGATACGCACCATAAGTGACGAAAACAGGAAGCTGGTAAATATAATTATCTGAACATTATCTTCATTTGATAGATGTTATGGGGAACTCATTAAAGTACAAATAAATTTATACAGTTATAACTTCATGGTAATAGATTAGACAACCTGTAGTGCTTATCTTTTGTGTCGCCTTGAAAAAGGCGACATATAGGGGTTACTTTTGTCAGCGTCCCCTTAAGCTTGTCTGAAGCATAAGTCAGTCATTATAAGTCGGGGAAAATCAGAAGATAAACTTTTTTATGGAAAGTGCTTTAGATTTCCTTTTAACATGTTTGATAACTGTACCTTCATGTTAAAGCAAAAAGGGAAGTCTGTTTGAATGAACTATCATCCCAGATATGATATCTGACTGAAAAAATAACCTATAATCTACTCTGTATGTATAACAGTCTGGGATCATATATAGAGAAGATAGCTTATTGCATGATGAAACAAGTCGGGGAACATAATATTAATAAAAGAAAACTCCATTAAATAGTGATAAAGAGAACTTGGCGGAAAATAAGTTAATTAGTTTTTCCCATTAAATCTGTCTAAGACAAGTTTCCTGGGACAAGTAAGAAATGCATATCGATGATGTTATGATGTATTTGAAATTTATATGTAATTGTGTAAATATATATAAACAGAATGCCCCGTGTAAAACCCATCCTTTCATAAAAACAAGACATTGTATAGAAAAGTCCTGTATATAATGGTCAGTATTTTAGTTTTTTTTTATATCATCAAGAACAGTTCATAGTTACCTTTTTAAGATAGCACCTGTCATATGAGTTGACTTCTCATTTACCTTTGCTGGTGTTGTTAGACAGGTTTTATTGGGTAAGTTGCTTGGTTATGTAAAACAGGTTTTACTGTATAAGAAGCCATGGGTCCTTAAGGAGCTTCTAATTCTTAAAATCACTTTCCCTTTACTGCCATGGGTTTCAATTCTGATCAAGTTTACGAGAGCTTGGTGGTTCTGAAATAGTGTAAATAGGGACCTGAAATAGTACACATAGTGACCTGAAATAGTGCACATAGGGACCTGAAAACGTGCATATAGGGACCTGAAAGAGTGCAAATAGGGACCTAAAATAGTGCACATAGGGGCCTGAAATAGTACAGGGCTCCAGATAAGATGCGTATACGCGTAAATTATGCATGGAAATAACAGGTTTACGCATTCAAAACAAAATTTAAGTGTATGAAAACTCACACAATATTCAGGTTACGCATTGAGCAACATTTCTTTCGCATAAACGTAACCGAAAGTATCTTATTTTTAATTTCGTCTGAACGCTTTGCAAGCTTCTACCAGTAACTACTGTAGTTCCGGCCATCATCGGTTGTTATCGTATGTATAGTATGGTGGTGGAATTAACTTCGTATGATGCTTTGCAACATCTAACGGTAACTTCCTGTAGTTCCGACTATCATCGGTTGTTATCGTATGTATAGTAAGGTGGTGGAATTAACGCAATTTCATAAAATAATTCAAAAGTAATTGTGAAGGTTATAATTAATGAAATAATTAGCACTGCCACGTATGAGCAACAGAAACATGCCTCAGGTTCAGATAAAACGTATGCCGTTTGGAAATGCAAGATTATAAACCAAGGGAGTCCAAAAAGCAAAAGAAATGACTGACATATCTTGTATTACAAGAATAATAAAAGCATAATAAATGTTTTACTCTTTTACATACATTTTAAGGAGTAAAAATACTCCTGCCAAATTTCAGATTTCAAGTTTTACTCATTCACAAAAAAATCAATGAGTAAATACTCATTGCCCTAAAAAATTATCTGGAGCCCTGATAGTACACATAGGGACCTGAAATAATGCACTTAGGAACCTGAAAAAGTACACATAGGGACCTGAAATAGTGCACATATGGACCTGACCTGAATTAGTGCATATAGGGACCTGAAATAGTACACATTGGGACCTGGAATAGTATACATAGGAAACTGAAATAGTGCAAATAGAGACACCTGACGTCTTTCCCCTACCAGTATCACTGAAAAAAATATTTTTGCTTAGTTCCCCACATATGTCAAAGGAACTTATTTCTACTTTCCAACTTTGCATTGCTTTTACCAAGTGAGATGTTTTATTGTAAACCATATTTTTATCTTCTAAAAAATACAAAAACCTATAAATAGACCAACTAAATACAACATTTCTGTAAACAACAGCAGTGCAAATACAAAAAAGACGAAAAAAATGGAGCTTAATATTAGGTTTTACAAAAACACCACTGTAACATATGAAGCTTCTGATGTGTTCAATACTAATTCAAGCTTTTCTCTAATGCTGATTATACTAATTCAAGCTTTTTTTCTGATGCTGATTGGCAAGATAAAAGTAGATCTATGAGTTTCCACACTTTTTATGTTGCTTATTATTTACCATTACCATATATTTTCACCTCCATTAAGGTAATTGTAATTCTACTTTTGAGGGGAAAAAAAAGAAGACTTCAAAAATACCAGCTGAATGTCAGTATGATTATGAAGTAGTAATGAATCAAGCATAATTACTAGGCTTGTTGTCATAGTGACTTAGTTTGCTCTTATATGAAAACAAATTAAGGCTTTTTGCATTCTCTTTACCACATATACTTATATTCATGAATTCAGCCAGTTTTGAATATCACTATTATTATGTTTTTAATCCATACAGAAAGAAAATCTAGATCAAGCCAGGCGGAAATGTAGCGTTTTGGCACGGCAACTAAATGAAGAGAAATTGGAGAAAGGAAGCCTGGAGATTCAGGTGGAGGAGATTGGAAAGCTACGCGCAGAGATCTCCGAGCAAGCTAAAACTATAACAAACCTTAAACACGCTTCAGCTGTAAGTTAATATTAGCAGTACAAGAGTTATTGTTTGTCTATTATAAATCTGTATTATGTACAAAACAAGTGTTAATTTTTCAGTATACAAGCATATGATTTTCAGTAAACATGTGTATAATTACATGTTGACCTCCTTAGGTTGTTGACTTCCAATGACTTGACTATAACTGCTGTGGTTTCTGAGAACTGCCAGGAACTTTAGATTCTTTTGTGTGAGGATGCTATCAAGCTAGCATAAATGGAAGGTTTGCGGTTCGACACATTTGACAACTTACATCTGAAATAATGAACAGAGGGTAACCTGAAGTCTCTACCAGTAAAGCTTTAAGCCATGAACCATCGGGCCTTTACAGTGATTGGGATTTTAAGCAGAAAAACATTTAGGTACAAAATAATGAAATTGGAATCTTGAAGGTTATCCAACATTTTACACAATGTATAAAATTTCTCCTCACAATTTTTATATCAAATGCAAATAAGCTGTAAGCATAATTGAGCCGCGTCATGACAAAACCAACGTAATGCGTTTGTGACCAGCATGGATCCAGACCAGCCTGCGCATCTGCGCAGTCTGATCAGGATCCATGCTGTTCACTTACAAACCCTATAACAAGTAAAGAAACTGACAGTGAACAGCATGGATCCTGATCAGACTGCGCGGATGCTGGTAGCAAACGCACTATGTTGGTTTTGTCATGACGCGGCTCATATAAACATTCTCTCAAATCCATTACTGATCCAACCAGTACTGAGAAATGGGTGTTGTTTCAGCTTTCTATTGACAGGACTTGAACCTAGGCTAGCAATCCGAAGATTACAGGTCAGGTACAATTGACTACTCTGCTACCCCAACACTATATGATATTTATTTAATAGGTGAAAACAGAACCATTGTCACTCTTTATTGCTTGATGTTCAGTAAAGAGGGGTTTGGACCTTGGATTTGCAAGCTCAAGACTTCTAAATCACGATCTCACATTTTTTTCAATCATTGATTGAAGACTATCAGTAAATATGTAATAACTTGTATCCTATACCACTAATTAAAGTAATGTGTGTGGAGATTTTGGGGATAATGTGGAGAACAATTTAGTTTTGCCACAGAATGGATGAAAATTTTAGGTAACTGCTTTCTAAAAAATATATTAAATACATAAAATTTTGAAAAAGGGCAAAAAACAATCGTAGTTATATTGAAAATCTTAAAAAAAATTTTATTTTCTACATCAGGTCCTCTCAAGTATAATTTTTGTTTATGCATATCATAAGCTCTTATATTTTGATGAAAATAGTTTTTCAGTTTTTGGCACTTGAAAATCAATTTCTCATCTAAGTTTGTCTCTCATAAAAACACTTATAAATAAGAGATGTTACTTTTTGCGTATGTGAAATTAAGCGATATAGGAAGCTGCAAGCTTATTATACCTTGGTTGGTCAGACGCCAATATTTAATTCTATTTTGTATGTTAAGACTGCCAGATTACATTTAATGGAAAACTTAGACATGGATTCCCCCTAAAACTCTTCAGGTCTACTTAAAATAGGATGTTAACCTCCTGAACACTTTGTGCAACATGACTTGCCGATATGCCGTCGTCTGTCCCCTTTAGCTCACTAAGGAGAGCATCTGAATTTAAAATCCAGGGGTCCCTGGTTCAATCCTCAATCCTAATATTATTATACCACCAGCACATATAGCTTAATTGGTAAGAGCACGAAACTTGTAACCTTGACATTATGGGTTGGATTCCTGGGCTGGGCAACTAAAATTACTAATCAGTCTTTCAGATGAAACTTTAAATCAAGGCCCTGTGCTTTAACATTTGGCACGATAAAGAACCAGGAGAAGCTTCTGGAATTAGGGTGTCTTTCTGTATTTGTATCTTGCACTATCCTCCTAAAATGATAAATAATCTTCTGGAGGACTCACCCTTATGGGCAACAGGTGGCGATATAAATAAACATAAAATACAATTACTATACCATGGAATGCAGAACCAGCTAGAGAAAGACTCAGCATGAAAAGACACTGCTGATAAGGGTATGATGCCCAGACCAAAGCGTGTAAACATTGAAGCCCATCTCATGATCTGATTACGATATGCAATGGGTGGCATGGGGGTGCATAAATAAATCTAAAATCAGTAAAGTTTGAGTCTATTTATAGAAATGCATGAGTCTATTTATAGAAATGCATACTTATATGGCTTTATACTGATGGCAGAAAGTTCTTAATGCCTTGAGAGAAAGTTCATGTACTTGTTAAAAAGCATTTTGGAAATCTGAATTTGAAATTAAAGTTTTTATGTGACCATCCTAGAAATATTTTATATATTCTTATATACTTTAACACAAGACTTTTCATTATTACAGGAAAAGGACAGAAGAATGGAGGTGTTACAGCATAGAAAGAAAAGACGTCTAAGGATGTCAGCAGAACATGTAAGTTTATATCCTGGACCCAAAGTTTATTTCTTTCATCTTTGGTATCAAATCTTTAATGATTTTATTAAAAAAAATTTGGGCCTGATATGAAAATAGAACAATTCAGAACTGTTGTATTGCATTGAGAATTGTTACTTTGATTTAGTAGCTATTGCTATGATATTCTTATTTAGCACAAATAGATAGACTGGTATAATTGTATTTCAGTTGTCAAGATTGAGCAGTCCATGCAGCATAGAAGAAGAGCCTTCACATGACTCAGATCTCTCATTGTCATCAATGTCAGTTGGAACCTTGTCTGATGATGATTTATTAGAGGAAGTAAGTAATATAATAATATCTTTATATAAATGAACGTAAGAAACTGTGGCCACAATTACAGTTAATACTCATCAGATGGAAGATTTCTATTTCTCCAAAAAATTGAATATCTCAAAAATGTCACGTAATACATGTACTGTGGGAAGCTCATTCATGATTAAGATTGTCAGCTAAAACTTCCCGTTCAGTGTTACTAGAATTGTTTATAAATATTCTAATAATATAACGTCATTTGTGTCTCCTAAAAATTCCATTCTGATCAACCATCCTAAAGTCCAAAGACTTATATAAGAAATTAATCTTTTGAAACAAGTATTATCAAATTGGTCTCATATATGTTGATCAATTGAAATTCTTTAATGTTTTCAGCTTCCTCATGATGATGTAGAAAAAATAGAGAAAAACTACAAGAAATTGATGAAAGAACAGCTGACTCTACAGAAATCAACAGCCCAACTTCAGAACATCCTAGGCTGGAGAACTGACTCACAGAGATATGTCAAGGTCAGTACTTGATTTAGGTCAAGGTCACAGATAAGATTTATGAAACACATCATGAACATGTCCTACTCTCTGTATATATACTAGAGAGCATCATAGAAAAGCTCAACTACATTACAATTTAGGCTGAAAAGTGTACTCTTACTCTTAGAGATATGTTAAGGTTAGTATTTATATAGGTCAAGGTCATGAAACACATCACATACATGTCCCTCTCTATGTATTTATACTTGAGGGTATCAAAGAAAAGCCCAGTTTAGGCTGAAAAGTTCATTCTCAGTGTTATATAGTGTCAAGGTCAGTGTTATATAGGTCATGGTCACATACATGAAATAAAATTCATGAAATACACCCAATCTTTAAGTATATACATGTTTATACTGGGGTTGGGATATATGATTGTCTAGCTGCAAAACAACTTAAACTTTGGGAATTTATTCTTGCAGATAAGTTAAGGTTTATTAATTTGAAGGTCAAGCGCATCAAAGTAATTACTATTATATCCATGTTCTTGCAGCAAATTTTGTGTCATAAAGTATCTTGTTTCAGATTTGACCAGCAGTTCTTCTTGATTTCCTATTACATGTAGTTGTCAATTTTCATTTTCAGGCACTACTTTATACTTGAACTGGTAGCAAAAATAGTGCCCTTCAAACTAAATATTTCCTCATGATGATTATGATGATAGTGATGATTATGATTTTAAATTTCTAGCATTTATTGTGAGAAGGGAACCTTCTTTCTATACTTTTACCTTTCTATATTTACATGTGCTTTTATATTTTCAGTCTAAACTAGATTTTGAGACAGACCTGTATATTGCTCAATGTAAGATTGAGAATCTAGAGGAGTGCCTTAGTAAATACAAGGTAAAATTGTTTCTCTTAATGTGTGTCAGAAAATACTTGTTTATGTGATTAGATAAACAATTTAACAGTGGTGTTTAATTGATTTGTCTCGTAAAATGCTACTTCAGCTGATGTTTATTGATCAATTTGATTCTTTCTCTGAATGCCTTTGTCTTGTTATTGCATCATTAGAGTAAATGGAAATTTCAGCTGTTAATGCAGATTGTTTCAAAATCATTTTATACAGTTTTATGTGATTGTTCTGAAGTTGAAATTAGGTCATTTTTACGGCAAAAGATCAGAGGTCAAAACCATGAGGTCATGACCTTGAGGGTTTGACCTTTTCATTTTAAAACACGGAGGTCAAGGTCATTTTTTTTCTTCAGGAGTATGACAGTAGCTGGGTATTTGAGAAAGATCAGTTGATTCAAGAGAAGGAAGTACTCACCTCTGAGAACCAATCACAAATTAAACAGGTATTGTAAATAGTTTTGATACTTATATTCTTTGAGGGGCGCCATGGCCGAGTAGTTAAGGTTGTTGACTTCAAACCACTTGCCCGTCATTGCTATGTGTTTGAATCCTGCTAGGGATTTTGGATTCATTTATGTAAAGAAGCTTTTTAGTTAGCTTACAAAACGTTAGTAGTTCTAATCATATGCCTGGTCTACCGGTAGAGCAGGAAAGTCACCATATGACCTTTACTGTGTTGGTTCACCAAAAAAAAAAAAAAAAAAAAAAAAGACAAAAAGAAATTAATTCTTTGATCACCTATACCTGTATTGAATGTGCTGGTTGTTATACATTATTTTAGGTTTACAGTTCAGTCCAGAGATATGCCATTTTAGACATGAGACAGCTTTTCTTGAAAGATGTATTTTTTCAGTCAATTTATTACAAGTAAAGCAGTTTCTCTTGTTGTTTAGACTTTATGTACAGGATAGAATTTTCATTAAATTCTAAGTTAAAACTTGGAATACTTTGTTGTTTTTTATAAAATGAATATGAGAGTGTGGTAGGGAAGAGTGATAATCAGATGGGTTTCATTGGAAAGGTTTTATAAACAAAATTAATTTTACTTGAGATTTTCATTGAAATTACAATATTTTCTTATTTAATATAACAGAGTAATGGAGCTTATAAATTGGTACATTTGATTAACTTACTGCATCTGCAATATTGAAGAATTTTATGCCCCGTTTTTTAACTAGAGACTCTGGTCTTTAAGTTTTTTTTAAAGTCAAATTTAGCGTCAGAAGTGATTAAGCTGACATAGTAAATGACTTTACAAATACTTATTTATTAGTTTCAGGAATATTATGTTGACGAGTTAATACTACTGCCATATCAGTTATTGCACAGAATTTGCCGTTAAAGGAACTTGAAATTTTTGAATTTAAGTTTTTTTTAATGTCAAATCTCAATTATTGCTTGAGATATTCAATTGAAATTTAAAATACTTTTTTATAGTAACAATGTACATCAGTTTGCAAAAATTGCATAACTCTGCCTGCAATATTTGCAGAATTATTTGCCCCTTTGAAACTTAGAAATTTTGGTTAAAGGTTAAAGGTCTTCAAAGATATTTACTTGAAACTTTACACATGCACTTAGGGTCATAATTGGAGGGTCATAATTGTATGTCACTGACCAAGTTCCATAACTCTCTCTTGCATTAAGGCTGATTCATATCCCCTTTTCTACTTAGTCTCTTGGTTAATGTTTACATGCAAGTTTTACATATCTCAATAACTATTAAAGATATTTATTTAAAACTTCACATATGCATTTAGGGTCATAATTGTAGGTCACTGACAAAGATCCATAATTCTATCTTGCATTTAGGCTTATTTTTCTCCCCTTTTTCAACTTAGAAATTCATGGTTAAGTTTTGCTTGTAAGCTGTTATCTCAATAAGTACTGAAGGGTTTGTGCCTTTTTTTGGACAATTTTATGCATTCATAATAATAATTTATTATAAAGCAGTGATTTATGGATAAAACATCTTAATAACAAGCCTTTGTACCTTTTCTGTCAAATTTATGTATTCATAGGTAATTAGTATTATTATACTCAATAAAACACCCTTGTGACATTACCTTCCGAATAGTCAAGCCAATACTGTATAATAAGACTCTCTCTAAGGCCTATAACATGAATTTATAACAAAAAATTAGCCCTTTTGTGAACTTAAAAAATTTATCATTATCAAGGCTCTTTTACTATCAAGCACTTAGAATAGTCGAGCGTGCTGTCCTACCGACAGCTCTTGTTTTTTTTATAAAATTAATATCAGCAGTGTGGTAGGGAAGAAGTGAAATAATCAGATGGTTTCATTTAGAGAATGCAGGTGCTTATATACAAACATTAATTTTTTCTTGAAATGTCTGGTCCATCTTATATATTGAACTGAAGTTATGTTTCACTCTATTTCATAAAAAAATATACAGTATTTGTAATGGAAGCTTTGGATAAAAATTTGGTACATTTTCATTTAATTCAATAAACATGCATCTGCAAATTCTGATAGCCAAGTTGTTATCATTTGCCCTTCACTGCTGTTGGTTTGAGTCCCATCAGAGACTCTGGATTCTTTTATTTTTATTTTACTGGAAAACTATCAATTTAGCATACAGAAGGTCCGAGGCTTAAGCCACATAAAGTTAAGATGGGATCTTTATAGCATCAGTGTACCGTTATTAGAATATCTCAACCAGCTTTCAGGAATATCTATGATTGTAGGGTTAATACTGCTAAGCTCCATATCAGGTTTTGTGTGCCAGAGATTTTTTTCATGTGAAGAAGCTTTTTTTCTAGTTATTTTAATCAGGGGCATGCTAGTACCTGAAATAATTGAGTAAAGTGTGCCTCAGGTTGTGTGTGTATTTGTGTTTATTTATACTCGCCACTGGTTGCCCATACCTGTGAGACATCCAGAAGAATATTTATCATTTTATTTTTTGGAGGGATGTGCAAGATACAGATATAGGAAGATGCCCCAAATCCAGAAGGTTCTCCTTGTTCTTTAACGCGTCATTAGTGTTTAAGCACTCATAATGGGACCTCAATTCAAAGTCTCATCTGAAAGACCGATTAGTAATTTGAGTCTGCCAGCCTGGGAATCAAACCCACAATGTCGAGATTACAAGTCTCGCACAATAACCGATTGAGCTATGCGGGCTGACTTTTGTGCCTTAGGTGTTCTGGCAAGTCACCATAATGTTCTTCCCTGGGCAAGCAACTTAAACCCAGCCAATTAGTAACTAACATTTTCATGCATTGCTCCTTTTGTTTTAATCACAAGAAGTAGTTAAAATAAAGAATCAAATTATTTGGTTTGTTAAGGCTGATTCATAAGGTAAAACTTGAAAATTAAGAAAAGAAGTTTTTAGGAATTGTATCACACATCATATTAATGTATTATTCATAAGCTGATATTAAAAAATCTAAGCAACATTTGTTTGAATCTGCAGAGAATTAATTATGTTATACAAAACATACTTTTTGAACAGATAGCAAAGCTTAAAGAAGATCTAAGGGAGACTACTCAGACATATGAAGAACTGAAGGAGCAAACAGAACACCTAGAGTTCTTGGTCCTGGAGACACAGGAAAACAAGGTAAGTTCTACATTAAGTTGCTGTGCAGTTTAGTTATTTAAAGTTGTATTGAAATAAAATATTTGATGTATCTGAAATGTTTGAGATTTTTGATCTTGATCATGAATTTACATAGATTATACATTGTAGTTCTGTCAAACATAAAATGTCCAACAATAACACATACTTAATATCTTCAAAATTTATTGTCATGCTTTTCTATATTTATTTGTGCAATTCAACATTTTTTAAAGGTGTTTGTTACTAGTATCCTGGTAATTCAAAATAAACATAAAAAAGTTTAATTCAAACATCATTTCAGTTCAGCTCTTATGATTATTATGTAATATAATCATATTCCAAAAACTGCAGGTATGATGTTCATCACAATTATTAAAACGTTAATAGATGATGGCCCCATTTTGCATAAACTATTTTTTGATCTTCACCACTGTGGGCTCAAATACAGCAAGGGACTTTGAATTCTTTCATATGAGAAAGGTATACAGCTAGCTTTGGGAAGGTCAGTGCTTCTACTCAGGTGCCTGCTTGTGGCTGAAATGTCACACAGAGAAGTTATTCCTCCACCGATAAAGCAGAAAAGTCTCAATACGACCTTGACGAAAACCCATTAAACTAACTAATCATTTAATTCTATAATGAGTAGCAAATTTTACAGGTCTTCCAGGGAACTATGACTCAATGTGTGATTTTTGTTTAGCCTAAGAATATCATTGAAATGTTAGCAACTATACTATGCATGTTTATGTTTTTACAGTATGTTATAGGGCTGCATGATACACTGTTAGCTTATTTGCATGTTTGTATGCCTGTCTGCAAGAAGGATCGTCTGTCTGTATGCAGGTAACTGTCTCCACCTACTTTATGTTTTCTGTTTGTATACATTTTAGAGTAATTAGCTATAAAAACTGGTGGCAAGTTATATGATTCAGTATGGATAGGTGTAAGGTTATATAACCAGGGATATATAACAAAGGTCTGTTTAAACATGGCCATATAACATGTCAAAATGTCTTATATTAATTATGATACTGCACAATTATTGTTCTTTTTTTATTGAAATTAAATTTTAAAATCTTTGTAGAACCAAAATGTAGATAGAAAAACAGATGGAAAGTAAAAATAAATTTCCACAAACCAGTATTGAATGCTGTTTTTTCAATTTATTGTTACTCTTAAAAAAGGAAAAATGACCTGGGATGTTGTAAATAGAAATGTTGCAAATTATCAATGAAATGATTTTACAGTATGTAAGGGTGCATGATACACTGTTACTTATTGCAACTGTTTGTATCTGTCTGCAAGAGATCGTTGTCGTTGCAGGTATGCTACTATACTTTGGGTTTTCTGTTTTATACATTTTAGAGTAATTAGCTATAAATGGTGAAGTTATGATTCAGTATGAAGGTGTAAGGTTTATAGCAGGGATTATCAAGGTTGTTAACTATTGGCCATTAAATTGTAAAGTTTATATTATTAGACGCACAATTATTGTTTTTTATTTGAAACTTAAATTTAAAATCTTGAGAACAAAATGTAGATAGAACAAATTGCATGAATAATTTAATCAAATTTCCACAAACTTTTAACACAATTTTTTTAGGGCGTCCATATCTTAATTTTACAAATCACCATGATTAAAGTTATAAAGTCAACATGAAAATAATAAAGTCACCATAAAATCTAAGATAATGTTAGTATTAACTTGAAACCTTGCAAAAATAAACAAATGAGCAGTCTAAATACACTGTTTAACCCAAATACACAATTCCCGTTCTTTGATGTCGTATATGATATTGGTAAAATGATACATGTATCAAAAAGTCATCTACCTTTTATTGTCGATACTAATTTTCACATTATTTATATGTTTACAGAGTTTTACTCTGTTTTTATGTACTGACCAATAATTATCAAATATTTGATCTGTGATCCACTTCATTACATTTTTCGTTATCGGAGAGAGAAAAAAAAACCCGGGGCTATGTAACTTGATTGTGTTTTCATGCGTTTTTATTGCATGTTTTAAATGGATACACAGTATATGAGAAAGATAAAAGGACTTGTATAAAACATTAAATGTGTTATTTTAAAAGCGTTTTTGGACATTTGAGTCTTGATTTTATGATAAAAAAAATTCAATTATTCAAGGATTTGACGTGCATGGAGTAATTTTATTGTAAGTTGATGATATAAATTGACTTTATAAAGTAAAATGTTGATTTTATGAAAATGATTAATATTTTTATATACAGAATACTTTAAATGCTTTCTTTTTAAATAAAAATAAATATTGTGTTATTTTAATGCTAAAATCATGTAGACCTTCTCTGAATCTCTTTAGGTGAAAAAAATTCAGATGTTCAAATGTGAAAGGCAACCAAAGTAAAAAAAATGTACCATTTTGTTGATAAATAAGAATAGGAAATTTGGTTGGACAGATAGATTTAAATCTTACAAGTCAGGCGTTTTGGATTAGATTTGAGCTGCGTTAAAACAACATATGGTTGAGACAGCATGGATCAACCTTGCATCTGATCCATGCTGTCGCTACAACCTAATAAAGTAAAGAAACTGATGGACAGCAGATCTGATCAGCTGTGCGGATGCGAGGCTGGTCTGGATCCATGCTGTGCAACCATATATGGTTTTGTCGGAAGCCTCATTCAATCGCAAGTATAAGTGTGGTCAGCACACACATGAACCATACAGATTGGTCACTGCTGGGGCACTGAATCTGCTTGTATCCAGTGTGAACCATTCATTCAGTACATATTTCGATATTTTCCCTAAAAATGGTAAATGGTTTTGTCCAGATTTTAAAGATGGACAAGTCCATTTCTTAAATTGAGGGTGATAATGGTGATGCTTACATTTATTAATGTTAAAAATAAGTATACTTAATGTTGGTGGGGGAGGGGGGAAATGCCCTTTCAACTATTCAATAATCACTCAAATTTACAGTCTATATTTTATATCATTAAATATATAAATATAGTAACTTTTAATTGTCATTAATTTTATAATCAGTAACTGTCTTGGCCATTGGCTATATATGGCTGTCAAAGTTAAAAGTTACGATAGATTGATTGACTGCCGGGTAATTATATATCCCAGTCCCCAAAGATATGTTCGTCAGCAGACTACTTTAATATGTTTACTAAAATGTCAAAAATTTGTATCACCATGTGCTAACCTAAATTTGGATTTAATAACTGGCACAGATTAGAATGAAAATATGAAGTAGTTTTGGTAAACAACTTCTTTTATTTAACCCTTTACCACAAATATACGCGAAACAACGCACTTTCGACCCCCCCCCCCCCTTTTTTAGGCCTCAAATAGTGAAAAAATGTCCTATTTGGGCCCCAAACATAAGTTTTCGTTTGAGAAATGTTGCCAAAAAATTGAGCACTTTTTCGGCATCGCCCCCTATCAAAAAGGTACATCAGGGTGTTGCCAGAAGGGGGATTTGCCCCGTTCTGTTTGGGGAGTTTGAAGGGGGGCGACAGTCCCCCTCATCGCCAAGAAATTTTGGACTTGTGAGAGGCTAAAAATGATCCCAGGTTGATCATAAGGTAAAGTGTAACCAAAGCTGAAAAGCCCTTGACTTTATCTCAATCCCTTGAGCAGTTGCAGCACTTTGAAATAAATTTTGATGGAAAAAATCGAGGCAAAATAGTGATTTTTGGCAATTTTGAGATGTCCCCTCGTTGCCATGGTAACAGGAAATTTAAGACTGAGCATGTCGTTACAAAGGCAATGGTCCAGTCAACATTTGTGCCAAGTTTGATTAGTATTGAAGCATTTTTCATAGTTTCATAGCAGTTTGAACTTGTAACAGGAGGCTTTTCAGTGAAAACGCAACTTCTTTTATTTTAAGATTTATCATCGAAAAAACTTTTTTTTTCAAAGTCTATCTCAATATATTTTTTCAATTTTACATTTGTTTATTATAGATTTGGTAATTTATAGTGAATTAAATTTCCCAAACATTGTTGCAGACCAGTTTTATATATATAGATTATTTTAAATAAAAAAAAAATAAGGAAAGTACTAATAAGTGCCATGTTAATCAGCACTATTCACTTCTATCAGTACTTATTTTGAAATTTTCCCTGATAAAGACGAATGGTTTTGCCCAGATTGAAAGATGGACAAGTCCATTTAAGATATTAATGTGGAAAAGGTTAACGATTGGCGACGGTAATTCAAAAAAAAGTTTTCAGTATAAAACAATGTTGGCACGATTCTTCCATTTATTTTATGGGATGTCAGTGCTTAGTTTTTATAGGTGCACATAAAAAAGATTTGCTTATACCTGGTGAACCTGAATGCGCTATATAAGTGTATGATTTTGCGTTATTTTTACACCACGCTAATATGGTTTTCTTGTATGATACGCCACAAATACAGAAGTAAAGATAAAAAAGATGTAAAATGAGATCTAATAAAAAACACATATTAATTATATGCATGTGGATCGTGCATGGATATTTGTTACAATACAGTATGCTTTACTCTCTTTTTTTTTTGCATCTGTTTAACGGAAGAGGGACAGTAATTTTTAGACTACGTTTTATTTACAGAGATAGTTAAATGCTTATAGTTTTGTTGTTGGTTCAATAAACTCCAAAATAATCAAAATTCTTGTGAATTTTGTGTCAATAAGTGCAACACTTGATTGATTAACAAGAAATTTGAAAAATGAAATAATTGGCAAAGTTTTAAAGTAACAGCCATGTTAAGGTCATGGATTTAATTTAACTGGCATTGTGCGTACTTGGTGACTGGGGAATTATCCTTGAGCAAGGATTAAAGGATTTCTGATGACCACTAAATTACAGAGGTCAGTGGATTAATTAATTAAATACACAATATATCTATAGAATGTTGTAGACATGTATCCAGTTGACTTGGTTCTTTAAATTTAATTTTCATCATAATTCCCTTATATGTGGGTGAAATAGATTTTGTTTGAGGGAAAAAAGCAAAGATAT